AGTTTCACCACATTTTACAAGTTGGCCACACCCACCCAGTCACATGGCTGGCAAGCCACTCCCACCCAGTCACATGGCCGGCAAGCCACTCCCACCCAGTCACATGGCTGGCAAGCCACTTCCACAAAGCAGGCCACACCTACAGAAGAGGTTCTAAAAATTTTTGAAACCCCCCCACTGATGCCATACTATACCATGATTCTTGAAGCTATAGAGAAGGGGTGTCAAACTCATGATCTGCACCCCGAATGCATCACACATTGGCCATACCCACACTAGGTTTAGTGATGGGAGGAAACGTCACGATATGTCACATGAGGCTGCTGTGACATCACAAGTTTGACACCCCTGCTACAGGGTATGACTGCAACCTGAGTTCTGAGGGTTTTTTTTTTATATTGTGTAAGTATTGATTGTGGAACTTGGGTTGGCTTGGAATCAAGAACTCCTGTACATTTTTCATAGCCTTCTTTTAAAGGCATTTCTTGCCTTTGTGGATGGGCAAAGATATCTTAAGGAAACAGCAGAAGAATAGGTTTTTCATTACAGGCAGTCCTGGATTTACGAGCACAATTGAGCCCAAAATTTCTGTTGCTTAGCGAGACATTTTTGTTGTGAATTTTGCCCCAGTTTGTGACCTTTCTTGTCACAGTTGTTAAGTGAATCACTCCAGTTGGTAAGTTAGTAACACGGTTGTTAAGTGAATCAGGCTTCCTCAATGATTTTGCTTGTCAGAAGGTTGAAAAAGGAGGATCACATGACCTCAGGCACAGCAACCGTCATAGGTACTGTATGAATCAGTTGTCAAGCATCTGAATTATGATCAGATGACCATGGGGATACTGCAATATTTGTAAGTGTGAAAAACGGTCATCAATCATTTTTTTCATTGCTGTTGTAACTTCAAACGGTCGCTAAATGAACCATTGTAAGTTGAGAATTATCTCTAATCAAGCATAAAGAAATTTTTCAAGTTCAGAATCCAAATAAGGTGAAGGTAAAGGTTCCCCTCGCACATATGTGCTAGTCATTCTCAGCTCTAGGGGGCGGTGCTCATCTCCGTTTCAAAACCAAAGAGCCTGTGCTATCCGAAGACGTCTCCGTGATCATCTAGTTGGCATGACTAAATGCCGAAGACGCACGGAACGTTTTTACCTTCCCACCAAAGGTGGTTCCAATTTTTCTACTTGCATTTTTTTACATACTTTTGAACTGCTAGGTTGGCAGAAGCTGGAACAAGTGACGGGAGCTCACTCCGTTACACGGTGCTAGGGATTCGAACCACAGAACTGCCAACCTTTCTGATCGACAAGTTCAGCATCTTAGCCACTGAGCCACCACGTCCCTGCATCAGAATCCAAATAGTGGAGTATAAATCTAGAAATGTTTCTTTGTGGAAATTCTGCTCTAAGCTCCAGAATGGATGTAGCTGAGGACACAATATCTCAGTTGAAAATTGGTTGAAAATCGATGGATGCATTTATCATCGATGTATTAAAGGTGCTGAAAACTCTTCAGTACAGAATAACGTCTTTGTTTCTCATTTCTTTAAGGCAGGAAGATTAGCTCTAAATTTGTCAGTCAAGTGAACATTTCGTGAACCATAACGTAATTGAGAAAATCCTTCAGACTTGGGGTTAATCTTCCCGCTCAGGGAGAGAGAGAGAGAGAGAGAGAGGTGGGATTAGACAGGGAGATTAGAGTTTACAAGCAGAACAGGTGGAGAAGGAAGTCAATGCATCTCACCTTTTCTCTTTCATGTTATTCTCTTTCCAGAGGTCTCCTGCTTGCCATGTTACTGAGCCTCATTTTTCTCCTGCTGCTGAGGTACATCGCTGGCGTCCTGGTGTGGGTTCTCATTGTGGGAGTAATATCCATCATTGCATACGGTGCGTAAAATGAGACCACGTAGCTGAACTAAAGCTCTTAATATACTGTGCCAAACTGATGAATGGGCTAAGGAGGGTCCTACCACAACAGTTAGAAGTGGACAATGGTTTGATTCAGGGGTGGGTTTCTCGCCCCGTTCCAACCAGTTCGGTTGGAACGGGGCG